CTCTCTCTTCCCCCCACCTCCATCGGGCGATGACCCCCCCCCAGTCTCACCCAAGAACTTCAAGGTGAAGATGATCATGAAGACGTCGGTGCTGCTGAGCTGGGAGTTCCCCGACACCTACAACTCCCCCACGCCCTACAAGGTGCGCCCCCACCCCGCGGCTCCGAGCCGCTCTGCCTTGGGTCAGGGTCCAGCCGTGGACTGGGTGAGCCTGGCCTGTGGGTATTGGTCTGCCTCATCCGAGATCAAGGCTCACCCGAATTGGAACACGTAGGGCTCTGGGCTCTGTCTGGAGTTGGGACAGAATCTAGGGTCAGGGCTTAGGCACAAATGAGACTTATCCCGGGATTGGTGCTCAGGGTGAGACCAAGGCTCAGTCTCACACCAGGACTGAGTCCTGGGTCAGGGTTTAAGATTGAGTCTGAGGTGGTCGCTAGTAGCTCACGCCTGTTATCCTAGCTACTCAGGAGGCTGAGATCTGAGGATCGCGGTTCAAAGCCAACCCGGGCAGGAAAGTCCGTGAGACTCTTTATCTCCAATAAACCACCAGAAAACCAGAAGTGGCGCTGTAGCTCAAGTGGTAGAGCGCTATAGCCTTGAGCTAAAGAGCTGAGGGTCAGTGCTCAGGCTCAGAGTTCAAGCCCCACCACCGAACAAAAAATAAAAATACAAAAAAGATTGAGTCTGAGATCAGGACTCAGTTTGCACAGATGTGGTCAGGATTGAGGCTCAAGTCAGGATCAAGACTCAGAGGTGGCCTTCTGCTTTGGGGCTGCATTTAGTTGGGCATAGGTGCAGAATTGGGGCTGAGTCTGGGATTGGGGTTTAGCCAAGAGAAGACTCAGAATTGGATCTCTACCTGGGATGGGGTTCAGACCATAGTTGAGGCTCAGCCTGGGGTGGGGATTGGCAGGCTGAGGCTCAGTGAGGACTGGCATCCCCATCTGCGTCGGGCTCCAGCCGGGCCAGCCCCACTGAGCCCCGGTGCCCTGACCCGCAGATCCAGTACAATGGGCTCACACTGGATGTGGATGGCCGCACCACCAAGAAGCTCATCACGCACCTCAAGCCACACACCTTCTACAACTTTGTGCTCACCAACCGCGTCAGCAGCCTGGGTGGCCTGCAGCAGACGGTCACTGCCTGGACCGCCTTCAACCTGCTGAGCAGCAAGCCCAGCGTCGCACCCAAGCCTGATGCTGACGGCTCCATCGTGGTCTACCTGCCCGACGGCCAGAGCCCCGTGCCCGTGCAGTATGTGTCCCCAGCCCGCACTGCAGGCCACTCTGTTCCGCAGCGGTGCCTGGCCAGAGCAAGGCTGAGGTTCTTCTAGTCTGGTGGGAGGACTCTGCCCAAGCCCAAGAGCAGTGAAGAGACGCGGGCACACGGTCTGGGGAGTGGGTCCCCAGTGGCCGGGCACCGGGACATTTCTCACCAGAGCCATGACTCTCCCACCCACCACAGGAGCTACTTTATTGTGATGGTGCCGCTGCGCAAGTCTCGTGGCGGCCAGTTCCTGACCCCGCTGGGCAGCCCGGAGGACATGGACCTGGAAGAGGTGAGGCGCGGGGGCGGGGGGCCGCCTGTGGGGGTGGGGTGGGGATGCTGCCCTGCTCACCTCCAAGCCATCAGTGGGGCGGAGCACCCCCTCACTGCGGAGCCACCCCGGAGTGCGCCGGCCCAGCTGACCTCTGAACCCACCCACGCCTCTCTTCTGCAGCTGATCCAAGACCTCTCCCGGCTGCAGAGGCGCAGCCTGCGACACTCGCGCCAGCTGGAGGCGCCCCGGCCCTACATCGCAGCCCGCTTCTCCGTCCTGCCCGCCATTTTCCATCCTGGGAACCAGAAGCAATACGGCGGCTTTGACAACCGGGGCCTGGAGCCCGGCCACCGCTATGTCCTCTTCGTGCTTGCTGTGCTGCAGAAGAACGAGCCTGTAAGTCCTCATGGTGTCTGCCCATAGTCAGACGCGCTGCGTGAGGCAGACCCCCCCCCCCCCGCTGAGGCCCCAGCCCCCTGCCCCAAAGCCACATCCTCCCCGCTCGCGTTGGTCAGGCCTAGGCAGAGAGAAGGACTTGAGGTAGAAGAGATTCCTAGGCAGGTCTTTCTGGGGGAGGGGATTTGGGGGCTGAGGCTTTAAGAGATGAGTAAGAGTTCACCAGGAAGAATTTGCACAAGGCAGAGGGAACATGAGCCGGGCCCACCCGGGCCGAGGGGAGGGGGCAGCGGTGGTGGCGAGTGGCCCTCTGGTGGGACGCGGCTGCAGGCGGGCAGCAGGTCTGCGTTTGAGGAAGGAGACGGATGCTGATGGTCCCCTCGTTCCCACAGACGTTTGCAGCCAGCCCCTTCTCAGACCCCTTCCAGCTGGACAACCCCGACCCCCAGCCCATTGTGGACGGCGAGGAGGGCCTCATCTGGGTGGTGGGGCCCGTGCTGGCGGTGGTCTTCATCATCTGCATCGTCATCGCCATCCTGCTGTACAAGAAGTGAGTGCCCTGCCTGGGGCCCCGCGCGCTGTGTGGCCAGGCGACGGCGCAGGGTGGGGGGTCTGCGAGGAGCATGCCTGCCAGACCAAGGCAGAGCAGAGCGCCTGCGCGCAGCTGTGTCCAACCCCAGTGACCGTGCTTCCCGCGGAGGCCGGAGCTCTGAGAGGTCCAGGAAGCAGCCATGGTCACCGTGGCCAGCACCGCCTGACCTCTGCTTTTCTTCCTCCTCTTGCCTGTGTCCATCCCGTTTGGGGAGCAGCAAACCAGACAGGTAAGAACAGCCCTGGAGGCTGGGGTGGACAGAGCGGGAGGGGAGGGCAGGGGAGGGGAAGGGAGGGGAGAGGGGAGTGCGCATGCTCCTGTGTGGCTGTGCTAGGCATCGCTGCTACCTGGGACCCGGGTTCAGGGTACCCCTCACCGCCGTGCTTTCTTGGGGACTAACCTGTACACGTGTGCGTGCGCCTGCGAGTGTGTGCGCACACTGTGGGTCACTCATCGGGTCCCCCCCTTCCTTCCCTGAAGTAAGCGCAAGGACTCAGAACCCCGCACCAAATGCCTGTTGAACAACGCTGACCCTGCCCCCCACCACCCCAAGGACCCCGTGGAGATGCGGCGCATTAACTTCCAGACGCCAGGTGCGCACCCAACATGCCCACAGGTGGTGTTCATGGTGGGGGGAGCTGCCCCCCGGGGTACCCCGGCCTCTGAGCACACCCGGTGCCACTGGGGTCCTCACCCCTAACCCCCTCGTGGGGCTGGTTTGGCTCTGGGAGCCCAAGAAATGACACTGCTGCCTTGGCCAGAGGCCCTGGGTGGCGTCCTCAGGCCCCGCCGTCCCCACCAGGAGCCGAGCGGCCGCCCCTCCCCCACGGCTGCAGCTCAGTCCTGTGCAGGAGCAGGACCGCAGTCACGGGCTGGGGTGACAGACTCCCTCCCTCCCTCCCTCCCTCCCTTCCCATTCTTCCACCTGCCGTCCCGTGGTGTGGCCACTTGTCCTGAGCGCCGTCCTGTCCACCCTCATGGCAGTTTTCCACATGGGCGCCTCCGTGCTGGCGCCGCTCCCCGGGCAGGGGGCTCAGCGCCGGGTCACCCGGTATCCCGTGTCTGGACGGGCGTGTCCCCAGGGTCCCCTGCTAAGCACCTGACCACTGCCCCACCCCCACCCCCACCCCAGGGTCTCCGATGCCACTTCCTCCCCTCAGCCCCTCTCGCGCTTCCGCCTCCCCTCTCCTTGTCTCCAATCTGACTCCTGTTACTCCCCTCTTCACACACGAGCGCCTTCTGACGCACGGCGGCTGTGTCCTCTCAGAGGGGCTGGTCACCGGCTTCACAGCCCGCACACTCGCCTCTCCCCGCTGGCTCTGGATGAGCGCGCGTTTCCGCCCCAGGAGGTGTCCCCTGTCCTGTGGTGTCTGCTGTCCCCTGTGGATTTGTGGCCTTCCGACCCCCCACATTTTCCTTGCCCATATCCCGCTGCTCCGTGCTGGGGGCTGCTGACAGACGCCCCTTGGTCTCTGGGTCTCGCAGGACTCACAGCCACAGAGCAGCCACTGTCCAGTGGGTCTGGGGCCTCGGCCGTCATTTGTTTATTGTTTACTGTCTCTGCAGATGCGGGCCTCAGCCGCCCCCTCGGGGAGCCGGGGTTCCACTTGGAAAGTTAGTTCCTGACCGCTGTTTCTGCTTGCTTCCCCTCCATTTGCTCCCCCCACCCTACCCCTCCCCCGTCCCCATCCCGCCTCCCATCTGTCTGCAAGGCCACGGCCCGGAGGCGGGCAAGGGAGGGTTGCTAAGCCCCTAACGCGGTGACAGCTACACGTGGGCGTGGGAGCATCCACACCGACGTGGATCTGGGGCTTGGGGGAGTCCTGGAGGCCGTAACGGGTTTGCCGGCTAGCCCGGGGTTGTCTCAGTGACGCACCCAGCTCACAGGGTTGGGGTGCACAGCCCAGTCTGGCAGATGTAAACACACAGAAGGGAGCCCCCAGCCCCATCTGTTGTGCCACAAGGCCAGGGACAGCTGGGGACCACCACCCACACCCCCGAGCCACCTGCTGCGCCGCCCGGGCACCGCCATTCTCTGCACTTGCTGCTTCTCACTACAACATCTGGGCGCTTGACGCTCCTGGGCTTCCTCCAGTCCCCGTACCCCCAGCCGGGTTGGAGGGGCCTGGCAGGCCACAGTGGGGACACAGCACCACCCCACCCCTCCCCACCTTAAGTCGGAAGTCTGGAGAAGCCACCCAGAGAGCCCCCTTCCCGCGTCTAACCGCTGCTCACGACACTCACCTCGTAGCACCCCTGCCGCCTGGCTCAGGATGGCTGGGCCGCCGGGGCCGCCGGTGACAGCCGGGCTCTGCTTGTCCGCAGGCATGCTCAGCCACCCACCCATCCCCATCGCCGACATGGCCGAGCACACCGAGCGGCTCAAGGCCAACGACAGCCTCAAGCTCTCCCAGGAATACGAGGTGAGGCCCGCCCCCCTCCCCGCACCTCGTCCCTGCTGGCCGTGCTGGCCCCTGACCCCAGCCCCGCCCCGCAGTCCATCGACCCCGGGCAGCAGTTCACGTGGGAGCACTCCAACCTGGAGGTGAACAAGCCCAAGAACCGCTACGCCAACGTCATCGCCTACGACCACTCCCGCGTCATCCTGCAGCCCATCGAAGGTACGGCCGCGCCCTCACACCGCGCCGGGGCCCTGGCAGGGCATCAGAGCCCCGGGCTCAGCCGCCTTTCCCGCTGCCGCAGGCCTTGTGGGCAGCGACTACATCAACGCCAACTACGTGGACGGCTACCGGCGGCAGAACGCGTACATCGCCACGCAGGGGCCCCTGCCCGAGACCTTCGGTGACTTCTGGCGGATGGTGTGGGAGCAGCGCTCCGCCACCATCGTCATGATGACAAGGCTAGAGGAGAAGTCTCGGGTGAGGCCCGAGTCTCTGTGTCCCTGAGCCCTGGCCAGCTCCGGCCCCTGCTCACCACCTCTCCACCCTCACCCGTTACAGATCAAGTGTGACCAGTACTGGCCCAACCGGGGCACCGAGACCTACGGCTTCATCCAGGTCACGCTGCTGGACACCATCGAACTGGCCACGTTCTGCGTGCGGACCTTCTCCCTGCACAAGGTGGGGGCTGCGCCAGGTCCTCCGCATGCCCTGACGGGGGCGCTGTGCAGCCTAGGGGAGAGGTGCACCTGTCCAGGGGGTGGCTGCGTCCTCACACGAGGAGCCCGTGACAAAGCAGGGAACTAGAAAACCGTAGACAGAAGGGAGAGCAGCGGGGATAGCAAGCTTGGGAAGGAAGCTGGAGCAGGAGGGGCAGTCACAGGGAAGCCTCCAGAACCTCCATCTAGGCAGAGGCACAGCCTGTGCAAAGGTCCTGGGACAGGAAGAGTCTGGTGTGTTGGAGGAGCTGTGAGGAGCCCGTGTGGCTGGGGCAGAGGGGGAGGGGGCGGGGCGGGTCGTGCAGGGCGCTGGGGGCTGCAGGGAGGACTTGGGCTTTGGCCCTGCCAGAGATGGGAGCCGGGTAGGGCTGTGGGCAGAGGAGGGAGAGGCACCCTCTGGTGGCTGGGGAAGGACAGGCCCTGGGAGGAGGAGGCAGGGTCTAGGTGTGGGCCCTGTGCTGGTCCCAGAGAGGGGGCCGGCGCGGAGGGTGGGAGAAGCCGCTGGTTGGCTGAGGCTAGACTGGAGGCAGGGCTGACGGTGCTGGCTGTGGGTAGCTGCAGGAAGGGAAGGGAGCCAAGCAGGGCCCCGGGCCGAGGCCAGTGCCGAAGGGCGGAGCCCGCAGCAGGACTGGCGGGGGCCGGCGGAGGGCTGCGTGGAGGTGGAAGCTGCGCACTCGGGCACCAGGACGAGGACCCTCGGTGTGCAGTGTCCCCGTGGCTGTGTCCCCAGAACGGCTCCAGTGAAAAGCGGGAGGTCCGCCATTTCCAGTTCACCGCGTGGCCTGACCATGGGGTGCCCGAGTACCCCACGCCCTTCCTGGCCTTCCTGCGGAGGGTGAAGACCTGCAACCCGCCCGACGCAGGTCCCATCGTGGTCCACTGCAGGTGCGGCCGCCCCGC